GCTGTGAAGACCCAGAGCCTGGAGCTTCACCACCAGCTTGGCAGGCACCATGGTGTTGAATGCTGAGCTGTAGTCCACAAACAGCATTCTCAAATATTTGTTTTTGTTTTTCAGGTGAGACAGAGCAGTGTGCAGAGTGAAAGCAATTGCATCATCAGTGGAGCGGTTATTTCTGTATGCAAATTGCAGAGGGTCAGTGTGAGCGGGCAGGACAGAGAAGATGTGCTTTTTAATCAGCTTCTCAAAGCTCTTGCTGAAGATAGGTGTCAGAGCAATCGGACGCCAGTCATTTAGGCATGTGGTTAGACAGCCATTCTCCTCACAGAAGCTCTGGAGATCTTGGCAAGAAGCCGGACGCTCCAGGATCAAGACGTACCATCTGGGACGGTCAAACCAGTCCAGCAGCTGCAGGACACTGGGGCAGGCAGGAGCTGAAGTGATGTGGGTCTTTCATGCCACCTCCAGCGGCAGCCGACCCTGACCATCCTGCAGGACAAACCCTCCATTATATAAAGGACTGAATCAAACACCACAGACTCACACCAAAACATACAACTTTCAGTGTCTCGGGGGTCCGGTCCTTTGACACGTACTTGATGTCCACCTGCAGACAGAAAAAGCAGAGTAAATCACACCTGCCTGATGGAGACACATGACATTTACTGACAGCAACATTTCTAAAGCATGTCTGAATGAAGGAGTGAAGAAGATCTCTTACTGGCAGTCCATCAGACCTGCGGACCGCAGCAAACACAGCCGAATCCACCTCGTCCCAGCAACGGGCCCTTCAGGTACAAGTCAGCAACACAGAAGAGCACAAGAAATGAAGAGAGAAGAGAAAACATGCTGCAGTGTCTTCAATGACAAATCATTTCCTAACTGAGCCAGAAGATCTGGAAGATTTGAGCTGTGCTGACCTCTGCGAGAGCGTTTGGCCGGTCTCCGGGAAGAGGTGGACGGTGTTTGCTGGCTGCTGCTTTGCCTTTTCCTCTTGCTGTTCCTCTGGTCTGTGGATGCGGAATCAGCCAAATGTGAAGGCAGAGGAGAAAATATCCAGGAAGCTCAGCGGTGCCGTCCTGTGTGTCTGTGTCCAGAGCTGCTGTCTGGGTGAAAGCAGCACTCCTGGGTCTGGAATGGCTTGAGGTTAAATATAAATCACACACAGAAACACTTTTACTGCTCACTTTTATCACACTTTCAGAAGGAACGTGCAGTTTTTATTGAGCAACTCTGCAGTTTCCATCATTATAATTGTTTTAAACAATAAAAACAAACATTAAAACATTTTTTATTATTTTTTTGTTTCATGTTACTTCTGTGATCTTTTTCATATCAATCAATCATCGTACAGCATCATTCAGTGACAAACCAATGACAAACTAATGACAAATTAAAAACACTCACCTCTCTTTCTTCACCCATGTGGGACATGGACAATCTCCTCCAACCTGCAATAAAACAAGAAAATACAGATAAAATATGAAAATTTATTTAAAACAGAGGAAATTAAGGAAAAATAAGAACAAAAAGAAGTGAAAATAAGAAAAGTAAAACAAAACAAATGTTTAACGAAACAATCAGAAAACAAGAACTGAAATAAAAACTGATTAATGAAGTTGTGCTCTTTATAATTAGTCTTCTCTCAGAAATCCTCGAACAGCTCAAGAAATCTCAGGATCCGCACAGAAATGCTCTGCAACCTCGCCTCGTCTCTCAACCAACAGATTGCGATGGATTTGATTGTGTTTATATGCAGTCCGAATTTATATCAACACGCGTTGCTATAGCAATTAAAATAAAAGCGCATTAAAAGATTTTGTAATAAAATTAGAAAGAAATTAAATAAAATTCCGGAATAATTTTAAGAGGCCTTACATTTACGCGAGAAGTGACGTCAGGGAAGTTAGTCACATGACCTTTTGTAATGCCCTGCTTTAGCCTGAATCGTCAATAATCGTATATAATTATAATATAATAAATATAATAATATAATAATAATAATGCAATATAATAGTCAATAATTTAGCGTAAATAATAATAAATATGATCCTCAGAAAAGAATCCAATAACTGTTCTGGAAGCAGTTTATGATGCCTGTAGATTTCATGAATGGAGAATAATATCATCATCGTTCACATTTTCCTTTAAGTATTTATTTCATTTTATTATTGTTTTATTCCATTTGATTCGTTTTATTTTTTATTAGACTGAAATTATCAAATTAAAATGTTCAATTAATATTAAATGGCAGCTGCTGTTTACCACAAAACCATTAATAAAGTGTCCAGCACCAAAAGTGTTTTATATAATGAGTCAAATCCACTGATAATGATCATATTTTAGCGATTATATAATGATTGTCATTATCAGTGAATTTGACTCATTAAAAGGGAAGGACATTATAATAATTATTACTGTTGTTATTGTTTTATTATTCAGATGGACAATTTCTAGTGAGGTTATTTGTGCGGTCCAGTTTGTTATTTGCCTAATAAATCACAAAACATTTTCTCTTTCTCTTGTGGACTAATAATTTATAGACTATTTTAGCCCAACCCTTCATATTTCTCATTCAACTTTTTACATGTGAAGCACAAATGTCCACTTATTATTGACTGTGATATAAAACTTTAATACATGTTTGTAAATTTATTGATAAATACATTGAATTCAGGTTTGTATACTTTATTGGTAAAAGATAATGAATGTATCTTCGCTGGTGCTGCTCGTACAGCTGCAGTTTATACTGATATTTCTGATATAATTTGATAATAATTGCTGAAGCTTTTATCAGGGTGTGTGTCACACTTTATTTGTTATAAATTTATTATCTGACAAAAACAACAACTGAGTTGTGGATCTCAACAAAACTTGACCGAGCAGAGCGCCGTTATGGATCACCCCGCACAGCTCACCGATTTTTTTTTCTTCATTGATTTTATTTTATTTGTATTTTTTTTATTGACTTCAATAATAAACGTACAAAATCCAATTTTACACAAAAAATAATGATAATAACAGATCAGGAAAAATTATATAAACATATAAAAAATTTAATTAAAAGAGAAACAAAAGAGAGAAAAATATAAATAAATAAAATTAAACAGAGATACATACATAACACAAATACAGCAAGAGGAAACAAGGACTTATGTATCCGTGATATTTCCAAAATATTTATCAGAATAATCCAAGAATCTATCACTTTTCTTGTTATTAACTAGTCTAGGGGTTTTATTAAAAACATCAATTTCTATTAAAAAATGTGAAATAGAAGGCTGCGAATTGGAGAATTTTTATTTGTGAATAAAATATTTTCCATACAAAATAAAAAAGTTAATAATGTAGTTCTCTGATATCAGTTTTACTGTCATAGTAACAAAAAATATCTTGAAGTTGTAAGGGTCTGGAAGAAGCAATGTAGCTCACTTCACCTATGATGTCATAAATAGAACGCCGTTACGTCATAGGACAGAACACAGTTCAGAAATTCCTCAGAGTGACAAACGAACGAGTAGAGTGAACAGTGATTATCGACTTTAGCGACTTGTTTTGCATCTCAAATGGCAAATAACACGTCAGCTGCGTTTTTTACTCGACTTAATTTGATTAAGACAGTATTTGTCAACCATAATCATCAAAGTGACACGATGGCTTCTCCTACACCTCCTACCGGTATGAGAAGCCCAACAGGTGAGATGACAGTTTACAAAAACAGTGTATTTTCACGCATTATTTAATAAAAAATATAATAATAATAATATAATATAGCCATAAAAGCGAATTGCCGACTTAAGAGTCAAATATTCAACCTCTCGTGTTTGTAATTGTGTAGTGTAGTTGTGATATTGAATATTTTCTGACTCTGTGATTTGAGCCCTGCTGATATTTTATGTATCGACATTCTGGCTTTTAGGTTTCTCATTTCCACTCAACAGAAATTGTGCCTTGTTAACTTTACTAATAAAAACATTTTAATAATACTTTAATTTAAATCCTTTGTGTAGACCTGCACAGTAATGTTCTTAGTTTTTGATGGTGTGGAGGAATATTTGTTATATTTTAGCAAACTGAGTGAGAATATTATATTTAAGTCTTTATTTGTTCAAGCAGGGATGAATTAATACAATTGAGGTAAAGTTGGTTTAATATTCACACATTCTGACTTTCTCCTTAATAATATAAAAGAAAAATATTGTTTCAAATTCTAAATGGGGAAATATTTTAACAGTCAATGACTATCATCATATAACAGTGTTTACAGTCAGTTAAATAGTGCTAATGTTGATTTGAAGTCATAATTACATGCGATTTCAGACCCAATATTGGTAAACAACTTATACGAACTGTTAAATGAACAAATGTGCAAATATAAAACCAACTTCACCTCCATAATAATAAATGTCTAGAGCTCTGTTTCTGTGACTGAAGTTCTGGAGCAAGACTTCTATTTTCATTTGGATTTCTAAGACTAATTGTTAAATGTTTAAAGTTATAATTTACTCACAGATTTCTTACCTGAAGCTCCAGAGCGAGAGGAATTGTTCTCTTTGAGTTTGACAATTGCTAATGAAAAGCTGAACAATGTTGATTTAGGTTCATTAGTTTTTCTGTGGTGGAGAAGTGGTGCTTGAGGAAGAATGTAGATGTAGATGTAGCACCCACTGACAAACAAATAAAAGGCCAAATTAATGTGATTAAACATTGTGATGGTGATTGTTAAATAGCTCAAACTATAACTGGTAAAACTCAGAATATTGACTCTAAGTCAGTTCTTATAATAGTTTGCATTTTGTGTGAGCAGGAGTGAGATGTTTAATTTTGTTAAATAGTTGCTTTTAGGTTTTTTCCTGATGTCTAATATGGACTTATGACTTACAGACTATTTGTCAGCTTGTGTTTGTCATTTTACATCTTAGAAATGATTTGCAAATCCACATAATTAATATCAGTTTTCAAACATTTTCTATTATAATTGTACATTTATTATTGTTGTTTGTTTTGTGTGATTGTCTTTTATATGTCTAATTTACTGCAGTTTGTCTATTTTGAACCTGTGGTTAAAGAGTTTTCTAATATTTCCCTGTTCATTTCCTTTATTTCAGAAAATCCAGAAAAAAGGAGGAAAGGGAATAAAGCCTCTGCTTTCTTCAAGAGAGCATGGAAGGCTGTGAAGCGCCCTTTCCTTTGCTGTGGCCGGAACAGAGTGGCTCCATTTGAACCACAGTCGGATATCGATGATTGCGAGCATCTGCCTGTTCCAGGTCCCTCCAGGACCGTCGCAGCACATGCAGACCTTGAGCCGGTGTGGCTGCCAGGCCAGGTCTGTGAAGACCCTCAGCCGTTGAGTGTTCCGGGCCCCTCCAGGATCAAGCAAACAGCAGATCCGGCCCGTCCTGAGTCCTCAACGGCCCTGACAGGTCATGTTGACACTGAGCTGGTGTGTCTGCCAGGCCAGATCTGGGAAGATCCTCAGCCAATCAGTGTCCATGGCCTCGCCAATATTAAGAACATGACGGATGCAGATTCGGCCTGTCCTGAGTCGCCTCCGTCTGTTCAAGACCCCTCTGATATTGATGGGACTGATGGTGAGTCATCCTGAATTTGGTTCATCTGATATTTTTAAGCTTTGTTGTTTTTAGCTTGTAAATCAGACAGTGTCATTTGTTGTGCTGTTGGTTGTGTATTAATTAGTAGCTGCAGCTCTGTTCATGGAGATGTTTCTGTTTGTTTTCTACATTTTAGAAAAACCCAAGAAAGGAAGGAAAGGGAAAAGAGTCTCTGCTTTCTTCAAGAGAGTATGGAAGGCTGCAACGTGCCCTTTCCTGTGCTGTGACACCGATGTAGTCCAGCATCTTACACCACAACCTGAACCTGAACCTGAGCCAGAGCCAGAGTCAGAGTCAGATTCCGAGTCCGAGTCCGAGCCTGAGCCTGAGTCAGCGCCAAAATCCGAGTCCGAGCCCGAGCTCCGGCCAGAGTCTGAGCCAGGGCTGGAGAATGAAGCTGATCCTGAGGCAGTGCCTGCTGAAATTATGCCTGAAATCGCAGAACCCGCTGACCCTGAGTCAGTATGTCTGCCAGGCCCAGCTCCTGAAGAGCCTAAAGAGGCTTCTGTGCCCACTCGTAGTAAGTCATCATTTCCTTCTGTAACTCATAATTAATATAATTAGTGATCAATTTACTCCTGTAATTCTGGTAGAAGTTACTGCTTTCAGCTCATTGCATTAGATCCAGATTTAAAGGATTTATTAGTCTTTTATTTGATCCGTTTCATACCAGACAATCCAAGTAAATCTCCCTGCTCTTTTTCTGTGTTTCAGGATTTGATTTGTCTGACTTTAAAGTAGACAGCATGATTGGAGAAGGAGCTTTTGGCAAGGTGTATGTGGCATCTCACAAACTTCGTGAAAGTGAAAAGGTAGAGAACTATTTTTTACATTCAGTCAGCATTTTCCTCCTAATTATTAAATATTAATAGTTTGTTGGCTTTAATTTGCCACTTACTTTGAAAAATTGACTGTTTTTTTTCGCAGGTTGCCCTGAAGTCTATAACCAAGCTTAAACAGGACCAATATCTCAACATTGTAAGTTGAATAATTCACACAACAATAACATTTTCCAGTTTTTGTTTCTGTACTTTGTTTCATTCTGCTCTGGTAATATCTTTGAAATCTGTTGTTCTTTCTAGGATGGTCATTCCACACCTGTGCTTGCGGAAGTGGCAATGATGCTTAGGTTGATGAATGCTCCGCAATGCCCAAATATCATTGGATTACACGACTGGATTGAGAATGAGAGCAGCTTCCTTCTCGTCTTGGAGTACCCAGAGTCAAGCCGGACCTTGGCTGATTACATCACAGTGAGATGGCGAATTAGTGAAAAGCGAGCACGCCGGTTAATTCGTCAGTTGATCCGAGCTGTAAAGTTCTGCACTGAGCGTGGAGTTTTCCATGGCGATATCCACACGGAGAACATCCTGGTGACGAAACCCCGATTACAGCTCAAATTGATCGACTTTGGTTGTGCTTGGCCAATTACCAGCGAGCCTTTCAACAGCAGTGAATTTCGAGGTGAGTTGGCGTTTTGTGTTAGTTTCTTTGCTCACAGTATTGTCTTATGAAATGACTGAATTCTGAAAATGTCTCTCTTATAGGAGCCAGTGGGATCACGCCACCTGAGGTTTTCAAGGATCCCACATTCTATGCTGACCCGGCAAACATTTGGCAAATAGGCAGCGTGCTGTACGATATATTGCATGCAGAATTGCCCTTTTCTGACAAAGATTCAGTAATGTTTGCATCCCTTGAGACACACCCCAGGTTAACTCCAGGTAAGCAGACACCTCTGAACAATCTCAGCCTCAGTGACAGAATAAAATATGTCAGTCACGAGTAAAAAAGCATTGAATATAATGGTTACATACATATTTCACACTCTCTGTGTCACTTTTCAGTATGCCAGAACCTGCTTTCCCAGTGTTTGGCCCGCTGTCCACTTGAGCGGCTGCAGTTACATCAGTTAGAAAAGCACCGGTGGTTCAATCCAACGACCCCAAATCCTGCGCAGCAGTTAAACAAGAGGAGGTAGAGGAACACACCGAGCACAAAACTACATCTTCAGTCTTTCTTTCCTTCATGCTATTCCTGTTCTTTCCTCTTCTGCTCTTTTAGAATCACAAGTCTTATTTGACAGCCCTTCATATCACTGCTTAAATAACTTTGTGTTGTTTTTCTTCATTTTAGAAAACACTAAAGTGAGAAAGTGGAAAGCACAATTAAAGTCACTAAACTAGCATTATCAGTTATTAATTACTCCCTCATGTCATTCCAAACCCCTCAGATCTTACTTTTCAGTGTCAGTGTGTTGATGAGAGCTCTGTCCTGCACTGTGTGTGTGTCCACTGCTGACGTTTACCTCAGATGTGCCCACGCTTTGTTTAAATGAGAGGAAGTCGCGCAGGCCTCTGGGTTATCCGTCAGCAGTGCGACACACATCCAGTGCAGTACAGGACTTCTGAAGTCATTATTTTTGTTTAAATCATTTTGTTTTTCTTTCTGCATTAAAGAAGTTTCGCTCCAAACCCCTGACACCTTTCCTCATCTTCAGAAAACAAATGAAAAGATTTGAGATGAAATCAAATCATCACACCATGAGAGCTCTGTCCTGCACTGTGTGTGTGTTCACTGCTGACGTTTACCTCAGATGTGCCCACGCTTTGTTTAAATGAGAGGAAGTCGCGCAGGCCTCTGGGTTAAACGTCAGCAGTGCGACACACATACAGTGCACTGCGCTCTTCTGGACGTGCGGTTTGAGGGTCAGAGAGCTCTCAGATTTCATCTCAAATGTTTTAATTTGGGTTCTCGATATAAACTAAACATGAATTTGAACTAAGGACATGAGCTGAGTAATTAATGACAATAATGGTAATGAATGGTGCCTAGACCGCAGCTCTGCACAAGACCTTTGGCCACAGGAGAAATGGTCGTACCCAACCGAGCCTGGTTTCTCTCGAGGTTTTTTCCTTCACTTTTGTCAATAGGTGAAGTTTTGTTCCTCGCCACTGTCGCCGCTGGCTTGCTTGGTTGGGACTTGTGGAGCTGCGCATCGATGGATTTGCTCTTTAGTGTTTGGACTTTCAGCAGTGACAATTAAACCACACTGAACTGAACTGAACTGAACTTCAACTCCAGTGCTGTCACAGTTTTCTCCTCTAAAGTGTCATCAAAGATCTGCTCAACTATTTTCTACCTCATTAATGAATCTGGTGTTCTGTCATAAGAGAGACTGATTGTTTTATAATGAAGTGTTCATGATTGTTTTGTAATGAATTGTTCTTTGAATTGTTTTGTGATGAACTGCTTCTATGTATTGTTGGCTAATAAGTCAAATAAAATCCTGTGAATCAAACTGAAGCTCTGATCATCATTTCTGTGAGTTTTCTAAATGACTCCTTACTCAATTAAAGAGAGAGTTCTCCCTCAACTATTTACTCACGTGCTTCCAAACCGATGAGGTTCTTTCCTCTGTTGAACACTGAAGAAGATACAAATCTGAAAACCTGTAACCATTGATGTCCACAGTAGGAAAACAAACACAATGGAAGTCAATAGTTACAGGTTTCCAGCATTTTTCAAAACATCTTCTTTTGTGTATAACAGAAGAAAGAAACTCATAGTACTTAGTACATAGAAACTCACTGGGAACACAAGCAGCTCTGGGTTCAGGCCTGGAAGAACAGTCTTATGATGGTCAGTGTGATTTGGGCTGTCGCTTGTAGAAGCAGCTGTTCTGCTCAGTTTCTGCCATCACAAGCTGTCCAGTTCCTGTCTGTTTTTCATTGTCCAGCAACATCAAGACAAAATCTACAAAAATAACAGATAAAAGAGAAACATGTTCAATCATTATTGAAAGAAACACAAGACACCAGTCAATTACATTACAGCACCTTTTAGAAGTATCCAACAATAACTTTTAAACACATTTCTGTCCTCAATTTAAATGTAAAGGAATAAGGAGAGCAATAGTTCTTAAAATAAATGAAGAGTTTTATATGTCCTCCTTGTTTATTTGTGCATCACTACTGACAGATATTTAGTCAAATGTTACTTGCAGTTCTTCAGTCTTGCAGTAGCCAAAAACACACTGTATGAGTCAAAATGAGTAATTTTACTGAAGATCATTAGAGGTAAAGATCATATTCCATTAATATATATACAGTTGAAGTCAGAATTATTAGCCCCCCTGAATAATTAGACTGCTTGTCTATTTTCCCCCCAATTTCTGTTTAACGGAGAGAAGATTTCTTCAACACATTTCTAAACATAATAGTTTATTAACTCATTTCTAATAACTGATTTATCTTTGCCATGATGACAGTAAATAATATTTGACTAGATATTTTTCAAGACACTTTTATACAGGTTAAAGTGACATTTAAAGGCTTAGCTAGGTTAATTAGGTTAGCTAGGCAGGTTAGGGTAATTAGGCAAGTACTGTATAACGATGGTTTGTTCTGTAGACTATCAAAAAAAAAGTAGCTTAAAAGGGCTAATAATTTTGTCCCTAAAATGGTGTTTAAAAAATTTAAAACTTTGTTTATTCTAGCAGAAATAAAACAAATAAGACTTTCTCCAGAAGAAAAAATATTATCAGACATACTGTGAAAATTCCCTTACTCTGTTAAACATCATTTGAAAAATATTTTAAAAAGAAGAAAAAAAATTCAAAGGGGGCTAATAATTCTGACTTCAACTGTATACAATGGGATTAAAGATATCTATAAATTATATTTTTACTGAGCAAATCTAAAACAGACATCTCAAATGATTATTTTACCGGCAACAATAACAATAGATGCTCTCTCATGGCCAAACTGCAGCTCTGCTCATTTCATTCGGCCAGTGGAAAGCTGCTGTTTGTTGGCCTGGCTGAGTCTGGTTTCCCCAAAAGTTTGTTCTTCACTTCTGTCAATTGCTGGAGTTTTGCTTCCACTGGCACATCTGACAATCTTGGATGGGGTTGCTGGAGCACTAGAGCACAGAGTCAGATGAACTAGAGATGTCTGGCTACACTAGGTTTGGTCTTAAAAACAGTTTCAATGCATTGAGCCACATTAAGCATTAAACTTAAACTAAAATGTTAATTCTAAATCCTTCAGATATAGTCTGATCCATTGTCATACAGTGCTCAGCACAAATGAGTTCACCATGTTTATATCAATTTCTCAGTTAATATATGCTGGAGCATTTAAACAAACCCTTACAAAAATAACTGCAGTACAACAACAGAATATAGAAGTATAACTGCAGTAAAATAATGTACAATTGCACAATCGCAATACAATAAAGTATAAACACAGTACAAATAGAGTTCAATAAAGTTCAACAGCAGTATAAGATGCAGTAATCTGGAGTAAAAACTAGTAAACTCTGTCTTTACTGCACTTGTGCTGCTGTAGTGTAATATGCCAGGGCTGTGGTAAGAACTGAACTGCACTTGTGTTCTAAGAGGTTTGTTCTTCAACATCTTCAGGACTATTTCGTACTTTTTTCTGGGATGTGTTTTGGATTAAAGTGATTTTCTGATTAGAATTTTAAGAGTTTATTTGCAAAAACAATTAACAAAACATAACTGCAGTGAACTGAACAGTACAACAGCGACTATAATGCAATAAAGTTCAGTTAAACCTGCAGTACAACTGAAGAAGTCATTCATTCATTCATTTTCTTGTCGGCTTAGTTCCTTTATTAAACCGGGGTCACCACAGCGGAATGAACCACCAACTTATCCAGCAAGTTTTTACGCAGCGGATGCCCTTCCAGCCGCAACCCATCTCTGGAAAACATCCACACACACACTCATACGCTACGGACAATTTAGCCTACCCAATTCACCTGTACCGCATGCAGTCATGAACAAGTTTTGACAGTGACGGTGATTTGGTGTTTCCCAAAAGTTGCAGACGCCTTTACCAATATCAAAATGTTTTTGTAAACATCCAGTTATTCTTTACACTGATTAAGAAATACTATGACTACTATAATAAAGAAAATCCGCTCTAAATAGAAAACTAAATAAATTGCTAAATACTCGACACATGAAAGAGTGAAGTATGCAGCCCACAAGAAATGTGGAAGCCTATTGCGTATCATATTAAACAAAGGAACTGGCGTCCACCGGCGTCACGTTGACGGTGATGGGGGTGTGTATTCTCTTCTCTCTCCTAAAATACACCACCAGCTCCTTGGTTTTGCAGATGTTGAGTGAGAGGTGGTTTTCCTGACACCACTGCTTCAGAGTGTGCACCTCCTCTCTGCAGGCCGTCTCATCATTATCTGTGATTAGGCCCACCAGCGTTGTGTCATCAGCAAATTTAACGATGACGTTGAAGCTGTGTTTTGCTGTACAGTCATGTGTGTACAGGGAGTACAGGAGTGGGCTGAGAACACAGCCCTGTGGAGCACCAGTGTTGAGGATCAGTGTGGATGAGGTAACGTTGTTCATTCTGACCTCCTGGCGTCTGCCTGACAGGAGGTCCAGGATCCAGTTGCACAATGAGCTGTGAAGACCCAGAGCCTGGAGCTTCACCACCAGCTTGGCAGAGACCATGGTGTTGAATGCTGAGCTGTAGTCCACAAACAGCATTCTCAAATATGTGCTTTTGTTTTCCAGGTGAGACAGAGCAGTGTGCAAGGTGAAAGCAATTGCATCATCAGTGGAGCGGTTATTTCTGTATGTAAATTGCAGAGGGTCAGTGTGAGCGGGCAGGACAGAGCAGGGGCCTCATGTACGAAGACTTGCGTGGAAATCCTACTAAAACATTGCGTACGCACAAAGCTGTAAATGTGCGTACGCAGAAAAAAATTCAAATGTATGAAACAATGCGTACGCCGAATCTCACGTATATTCTATTGTACATCCGAATGAACGTGAAACTGAGCGCAACATGCACGAGCACAAAACCCCTCCCTGCCTCCTCCCCCGTATGAATATGCTAATGACTCTATTTTGGCAAAACCCAAGGAAAAAGCAATGGCAAAAGCATGCGAAAAGAGAAACTTTGAACCGAATGTGAATAAGAGGTGCAACTTTCGAAGGTAGA